CCTCAAAGATTTTCTCAAAGTTTGTTTAAAATTACGCTTTTCATTGTCTCCAGGTGTGTAATTATTACGACTTTAATTGTTATATTGAATTGACATTAACCTGAAGTTCGTACATATGCTACAAGTACTTGTACAAGTTGTCAGTAACACACACTTGACATAACGTTTACCTCCAAGACATTCCGAAAGTTCGTTTAAATTTGTTTACGCTTTTCACTGTCTCCATTAGTGCAATTATTATGAGTTGAAATAGTTAACTTGAAGTTGGTACATATACTACAAATACTTACACAAGTTGCCAATTACACATACTTGATATTACGTTTACCTCAAAGATTTCCTCAAAGTTGGTTTGATCTTACATTTTACATTGTATTTATTTGGCTGATTGTGAATTGTTAAATCACAGTTGTAACGTTGTAACGTTGCTAAAAGTACTTGCGCAAGTTCCCAATTACACATACTTGATATTACGTTTACTACCAAGATTTTCCAAAAGTTTGATTGATGTAAATTTTTCACTCTCTTTATTTGGCTGATTGTGAATTAATAAATCGCATTTGGAAAGTTGTTACATTTTCTACAAGTACTTGAACAAGTTGCCAATTACACATACTTGATAAAAAGTTTACCACCAAGATTTTTCAAAGTTTGTTTGATTTTATATTTTTGTCTGATTGTGAATTGATAAATCGCATTTGGAAAGTTGTTACATTTGATACAAGTACTTGCACAAGTTCCCAATTGCACATACTTATATCACGTTTACCACAAAGATTTTGATTATTTATTATGAGTCGATATTGTTAGATTCTATTGCTATTAACTTGAAGTTGGTACATATACTACAAGTACTTGCACAAGTTGCCAATTACACATACTTGACATGAAGTTTACCTCAAAGATTTTCTCAAAGTTTGTTTTATATTACACTTTTCAATGTCTCTATTTGATTAGTTTATTGTGAGTTAAAATTGATAAATTGTATTGGTAGTAACCTGAAGTTGGTAAAAATGTTACAAATAATTCTGCAACTTGCCAATTACACAATACTTGACAGAACGATTAAAAATGTGTCTGACTTTACACTTTTGATACATTTGCGACAAGTACTTGAACAAGTTGCCAATTACTCAAAATTGACATTACACAATTATAAACTTACCAATTTTTCCACTTTAAATATTTTAACATATATTTTCAATTAACCAGATGTACACTTAATAAATAAAACCATTTTTATAAAAACCATCAATCACTAATTACACATTTATTATATGAATTTACAATTATTTTTCTTTGTAACCAACACAAATGGAATAGGTTAATTGCTTCATGCATTCGCATAGAAATTAATAAGGTTGATGATGATGTACGTTGTATACTTTTCTTTTTACTTGAATTGAAGGGCTTGGCTTCTCGCAGTGGACAATAAATGCAATGTCTGTAATTATGCAACTGGTGGGAAATGCAGCAGCGGACAATTTCCATTAATTTATTGAATAATCGGTGTCACTAATGAAATGCTCTTTGAGTGTTTGTATTTCATAAGAATCTAATTGCGGATTATTTAAACGGAACTTTTTCATTAATTGTTCTGTTTATGTTTTACGTTGCAGACATCATTTAAATTTGATGCGATGATTCCATTATTGTTCGAGAAAAATAAAATCGAAATTACTGTTTAAATGGAGTATAAATGTTATGTTTTGTTCGAGACGGAAGAATTTATTTACGCAAATTAGAAATAAATTTATAGTCGTTTATGTGTTATTAAACAATCAAATTACTAATTGATTCTTTATAATTATTTCTAAGAAAAGTGGAGCTGTTTTAGTAAATTTATAAAGTTTTCGATTTGTTTCAATAAAAATGACGAAAATCACAAACAAACATTATTATTATGTAATGAATTGTCTTGATTTTTTTTTCAATACACGAGTAAACTGAATACAAAGGAAATTGCATTTCATTTTCTTTAATTAAAATTCTAAGCGTTTGTATGCAAAATTCCTTTATACGTAAATCAGTTTCAATGCAGAATTATTTTCAGTTATGCAACATCATTTTTTTTTAAATATCACTTAAAAGACTATAGATTAAACTTTACTTTAAAATCTATTGATCTCAAAGGGTTTTTACTTCAATTGGAATAAGAATGAGAACAGAAAAGGACTTTTTCAACAAATACGAAAGTAAATATTGTCTTGTTTACTTATTTTTTTTTTATTCAGAATTCAGGAAATTGGATGTAATATTAAAGCGTCTTTTGGTGCAGAAGTAAATATTCGATCGAGTGCACGGAAACTTCAAGAGGTTTTCTTTTTATTTTCCGGATAAGAAAAACCTGAACTTCCTGTAAAATCAAATATTTTTTTCTTATTTTCTCTAGAAGAAATATTGATTTAATAATGTAAACGTTTAGTAAATATATTTACTAGTAAATATGTTCATTTATATAATAAAGGGTGTCCCAAAATTAACGCAAGATTTGAATTTGCCGCCATGTGTGCAGTAAAGTGTTGGAAACCCCAAAAAAAAAACAATTTGACACATTACTGCAAAGGGCGGCAAATTCAAATTGTTGCGTTAATTTTCGGACACCCCTTATAATAGTTAAAATATAATCAATAGTTATAGAAGTTATCAAACATAAAAATTGATTTATATATATTTGAAGTAATTACGTAAACGTTTGATAAATGTATTAATTTATATAAGATTTTTAATGAAATGGTTTTAATTTCTTATTAAATTATAGTGGTAAAGCTGAAGGTATCAAAAAAATGTTTAGATCGTAGTTTTAGCTACTTGTTATTGCATGATTCATTCAAGCAAGAATTTAATCTAATCAGTATATTTGTATTTCTTTTTTCCCAATATAAATATAGATGTTTTTTTTTTCTTAAAATTAGTAAAAATATCATTTTATTATCTATAAGCTGATGATTCCTTCTTCTTGAAGAAAAGTGAAGAAAAATCAACAAAAAATCAATTTGTAAAATTCATAAATTAAAAAAATTATCATTATGAAAGAAAGAGAAAATTCTTAAAAAAATCTCTCTTATATCCAGACAAATTTGAAAATAGATAAAACTATTATTTTTTTTTTAAATTAATAGTTTCTAATATGAAAGATTGTTGTTCAGTTCATAATTAACAATTAATCGTTTTGTTGTGAGATTCTTGATATTATTGATTGTAAAGGTTAAAAAGTTATGTTTAATTATGTTTAATAATATGAAAATATTAGTTTTTCATAATATTTTCATATTATGTAAAGATGATATGGAAATTGTAGACATGTTATGCAGCTCTTAGACTGTTGTGAGATTTTTCATTTAATTGGATCGTCAAATTAACTTTTACATTTAAATGTTGTTTATATTGACATATAATAATAATAATAACAAATGATAATGACATATGATATTTATTTTGACATATGAAAATACTATGAAAATAATTGAAGTTTAATTGCACGACTTCATTGAAAATGACATATGACATTGACATATAACAATTCTATGAAAACAATTGAAGTTTAATTGTAGCTATATTCTGAAGGTCCTTGAGACATTTGAACGACTTCATTGAAAATGACATAAAGTCTTGACATATGACATTGACATATGACAATATTATGAAAACAATTGAAGTTTTATTGTATCAATATTCTAAATTTCCTTGAGAGATTTGAACCATTTCATTGAAAATGACATATGATCTTGACATATAAAAATTCTATGAAAATAATTGAAGTTTAATTGTAACAATATTCTGAAGCTCCTTGAGGCATTAGAACGACTTCATTGAAAATGACATATGATTTTGACATATGACATTGACATATGACAATTCTATGAAAACAATTGAAGTTTTATTGTAGCAATATTCTGAAACTCCATGAGACATTTGAACGTCTTCATTGAAAATGACATATGATATATGATGTTGACATATGACATATGAAAATTCTATGAAAACAATTGAAGTTTAATTGTAGCGATATTTTGAAGCTCCTTGAGACATTTGAACGACTTCATTGAAAATGACATAAAATCTTGACATATGACATTGACATATAACAATTGTATGAAAACAATTGAAGTTTAATTGTAGTAATATTCTGAAGCTCCTTGAGACATTTGAACAACTTCATTGAAAAGGACATATGATCTTGACAATGATCTTGACATATGACATTGACATATAACAATTCTATGAAAATAATTCAAGTTTAATTGTAGCAATATTCCGAAGCCCCTTGAGACATTTGAACGACTTCATTGAAAATGACATAAGATCTTGACATATGAAATTGACATATAACAATTCTATGAAAATAATTGAAGTTTAATTGTAGCTATATTCTGTAGCTCCTTGAGACATTTGAACGACTTCATTGAAAATGACATATGATCTTGACATATGAAAATTCTATGAAAATCATTGAAATTTAATGGTAGCGATATTCTGAAGCTCTTTGAAACATTTGCTCGTATTTCTATGAGATTTTGATTTAATTAATTGTAAATTAACTTTTTACATTTAAATGTTGTTCAATGACATATGATAATTAGTATAAAAATGACATGTGACATATGACATTGACATATGAATATTGAATATTTGATCGTTTTCTTATGAGATTTTGATTTAATTAATTGTAAATTAACTTTTAGTTCAAAATGTTGTTTAATAAAATATGATAATGGCTATGAAAATGACAAGTGACATATGAAAATCATTGAAGTTTAATTGGAGCGTTATTTTGAAGCTCTTAACTAGGTGCTAGGATCATTTCGGACAGCCATCACTCATACCGTTAATTAATTGGCTCGGTCCAAATGGCACACGTATAATATTTCTAGCCGCTTTCCGAGCTGCACGCTTTTTAAAATTGTTCTAAAAATGTCCGAAAGAAAAGCGAGCAGCAAATTTCAAAATAACGACAACAACCAACAAAAAAAAAAAAAAAGAAAAAACACAACACACAAACGGAGTCCCAAAAAGGTGGGGTGCAGTGCGAATATATAATTAGATCCTTCATTAGACCTGTCATTCATTCGGCGAACGGGCGTCCCATCATCAAAATGGTAAAAAGCGTCGCGACGCCTCATCCTCAATCTGTGCGCGTTTTGGATTATTCTCTCACCTTTCCAGTTAAATCTTTGCAGGATGACGATCAGCAGAAGTTGGCGATCATGCGGAAAGCGTTCCAGATGTTCGACACCACCAAATCTGGATTCATCGATACGGTGAAGATCTCGACCATCCTGAACACGATGGGACAACTGTTCGACGATGCTGAATTATCCAAACTGATCGCGCAGAATGATCCGGATAAGAGCGGAAAAGTGGATTTTGATGCGTTCTGCGATATCGCTGTGCATTTCTTGGAAGAAGATGATGATGAATCCACAACTCAGGAATTAAAAGAAGCTTTCAGGTGTTAACTGAAGTTTTACTTTTCATCATCGATGTTAATCCGAACTCTTCTTGCAGATTGTACGACAGGGAAGGCAACGGTTACATCACCACCGCAACGCTGAAGGAAATCTTGAGGGCGCTCGACGATAACTTAACGAATGGAGATTTGGATGGAATCATACAAGAAATCGATACCGATGGCTCCGGCACCGTGGATTTTGATGGTAAAACAAACAAAAAACACAATTCTCAACCATTTACAACAATAAAATTTACAGAATTCATGGAAATGATGACTGGGGATTAAATTAAACCAACAATTCGGAGCGATCACTAAAAAATCATGTTTCCTAAATACGCACACACACATATTACATACATTTAACTTACAAATAAACTAATACTTTAACAGAAAGCTCCAAACGACATTAATTAAACAAAATAAATGTATTTAAATTCATCAATTTTACTAGCTCGTTACACTTTGATCTAACTGAAATATTTATACTACGACGGACATCAAATCTACGCTAATTTGATTATATAAGAGCACCTCTCACTCGCAAAGAAGGTGCCACTGCTGATGCAATTCCATGGGATTCGCCATCGCCATGTTCCATTGGATCAGGGCCTTACCTCTTGCAAACATGTACGAGCCAAGCACGCATTTCCCAATCAATTTATCTGCAAATCAACAAAATATTATTTTTTAAATCTTCATATTTGATTGTCGCAATGTAATTAATTACAAACTATTATACTAATTGGGTTATACAACACAAACTGCGGGTGCATCTTTCAGCGAATTATGCATAATTATCGCGAGACTAATAATAAACGCGAGTTGCGTCCTGAATTCCCGAACAAGGTTTCAACTCAATCACAAACATCTAATACAAAGTTACTATACAATTTAGTTACTACGTGCTGTTATCTATTAATTATAGACAATACATCAATAAAGTTTTAATCTATTTCCAGTGTTTATTTCATTGAATTAATCAATTATAAAAATATAATTTGTTTACGTTCATTTTACTAAATATTATATTGTGGCAGATTGCAATTAAAAAAACCATACTTATCAATGAAAACTGATGAAAATTGTATTTATTTTTTTATTAAATATATAAAAAGTACTTAAAAAATGAAAATTTAAGAAAATAATAATAGATTCTACGTTATTTATTTCTTGATGAATTTCAACTTACAAAAATGCAATAACTTAAAAATCTTATATTTATAAAATATAGAAATATTTGACTATATATATACGAATTTAGACCAATAAATTAAAGCAAAATATGAAAATTGTCTTTGCTTTAATGATAATTTCATTTACTTCAATTATTCTTTCAAAAATGTCTATCCTAAACTGTTCAAGAAATTTATTTTACTCACTGAAATTTGATTGTATCGATACTCTGAAGCTTTTTGAGACATTTGAATGTCTTCGTATGAGATTTTAATTTAATTAATTGTAAATTAACTTTTTACATTTAACTGTTGTTTAATGACATATGATAATGACTATCAAAAATGACATGTAATAATGACATATGATCTTGACATAAGTATATCGGGTATATTGCAAGCCCGACAACCGTTCAATATCCCGACTGTATCAAAATCCCGACGTTCAAAATCCCGGCATTATCAAAATCCCGACTACCATAATCCCGAAAATCAAAATCCAGACTACCATAAAAATGTTATTGTAGAAATTTATAATAATAAAAAGAACTGTCGGAATTTCAATATAGTTGACGGGATTTTGACATAGTCGGGATTTTTATATAGTTGGGATTTCGAACGTCGGGATTTTGGTTGTCGGGCTTGCGATTGGCAGCGAAGAATATAGTATAAAAATTACTCAAGAAAAGCAAAATATAAAAATTGTCTTTTCTTTGATGTTAATTTCATTTACTTGAATTAATCTTTCAAAAATTTCTATCCTAAACTGTTTTTTTTCTACAATGGAATTTGGGAATTTGTAAATTAACTTATTACATTTAAATATTGTTTATATTGATATATAATAATAACAAATGATAATGACATATGTTATATTAACATATAACATATGACAAACCTATGAAAATAATTGAAGTTTAATTGTAGCAATATTCTGTAGCTCCTTGAGTCATTTGAATCATATGATTTTGACATATGACATTGACATATGAAAATTCTATGAAAATCATTGAAATTAAATTGTAGCAATATTCTGAAGCTCTTTGAGACATTTGAATGTCTTCGTATGAGATTTTAATTTAATTAATTGTAAATTAACTTTTTAAATTTAAATGTTGTTTATTGACATATGATAATGACTATGAAAATGACATTTGACATATGACAACTGTTTCTGACATATATGAACATATGACATATGATAATCGTATAAAAATCATTGAAATTTGATCGCTACAATACTGTAAAGCTTTTTGAGACATTTGACCGTCATCTTATGAGATTTTGATTTAATTAATTGTAAATTGACTTTTTACATTTAAATGTTGTTTAATTACATATGATAATGACTATGGAAAATGATATATCATAATGACTATGAAAATGACATATGAAAATGATATGTGATAATGACATATGATCTTGACATATGAATATCGTATAATAATTACATAAGAAAAGCAAAATATGCAAATTGTCTTTTCTTTGATGTTAATTTCATTTACTTGAATTATTCTTTCAAAAATTTCTATACTAAACTGTTTTTTTCAAGAAATGTATTTTACTTTAATACTAAAGAATTTAACAAATATCTTTCATATCTATCATAAAATACATATTCATAATTATAATATCCTCTTTAAACTTAACACGAACATTAATCAAATGTAATTTGACGCTGTGACAAAAATTACTATTCGATAAACTGTAAACAAATTTCCACAATGCAATTTGTAATAGATTCTACGAAATTCACTTAGCAAATGCATGCAACGATTAATAATAAGTTGACTGTATATGTAAACATTGTTGATAACTAGGTGCATCATGCAAAAAACTAGGAAGTTCCAAAGCAAACACATACACAAAAACATAAGCAAAAATTAAGCAACATCCATGAAAACATTAAAGATGTAAAGACCATCAACCTGACGATTGTTTATTCGCTCGACAAGGTCGTCATTCAAAAATAAGTTTACGTTTTCTTCCATTTAAATGATCGATTTGACTTTGAAAATTAATAAACAAGATGAATGAACATTTTTGTCCGTGAAATATTCCTTAAATCTATTGATTAATTTAATAATCAATTAATACAAATTATTGTTCGATTTAATCGTGCACTTATCTTTTAATAAATATTTAATTAAGTGCATGGATCATACGTACATGATAATTGTCGCATGAATTTTAATTGTAAACAATTAGGCAATCGAGTACGTGTACTTGCACGAAATTGGTGCATAATTATAACTTAAATAAATTAATGAAAAAATTTCCATTCAAAGTATGTTTTATTCAGACCGAAAATTGCAGCCCAATTACACACGATAATCTATTTAAATAATGAGTATTGAGTCGTACTCCTTGAATATTTAAACTGAAGAATCAATTTTCAGTCGTCGAAGATTGATACAATTTCTTGTATTTCTCAATCAATTATTAAACATTTCGATCGTTGATTTTATTTTGAAACTAGTTTAATTTATTATTTGTTATTTGAAATGTTTACGCCGCTGTTTCGTTCCTACAAAACCGTCGCAAATTGAATAGGCGTAAAATGAATCCATATTTACAGTGAGGTAATTATAGGGTTTAGTTCTACATAAGTGTAAAATCAGCAATTAATAAGCGTTATTTCGCAGCGTCGTTATTGTAAATCGGCGTAAATCGAACAGGCGCAAAATGTATTTGAAATTACATAATTATAAACAATTAAAATATCATTATTTTTTAAGCTTGTTAACTCTAATTAATTATACATTTCTACTAATAAAGAACATCAAGCATGTCTGATTTTCTTTACGTTTTGTTTACGTTCAAAGCACCTACCCCTACCGTATCCCGCGGTCGCCTCGAAGACGTGGAAAGCCAGACTGGTGATGTCCAGCTGCGACGGATGCAACTTGAAGTTGAAACCCTCCAGGAAGCTGACGGCTCCGTCGCGCGACGGTTTCGTGATCCTCGTCCTCTTCTCCTTGACCGCTCTGTAATGTTGGTTCAACGTCAACCTGACGTAAGCCTCCTGCTTTTCGCCTTGGAACTGAAAGCAATATTGCGTACATCAGAAACACACCTTCTTCATCCTACTAAAGAGATATTCCTGCTTCAAGGTTCAAAACACACAAAATGAAGTCTAAGATCCAGTCCAGATAGTATTCATTAACAAAAAAAAAAGGTAATTTGATGTTTGCTGTGCGTACTTTAATTAGTTGTTATTTGTTTTGCGAAGAAACCTTGATACTTTTTGTAGGAAGTAAATAATTACGAATCCATTTTAGAATAACATATGAAGGTTTTGTAATTAGAGTTTTGTTTATTGAAAATTTCTCTTCAATTTATAAGTTGTATAAATAATCCAAGTAAACTGATTTCATTTAAATCTTATTAACCTTCACTGAAATCTGTCATTTTGACACATGCGTTTTTTTTTCATTATGTAATCTATTGTATAAATAATCCAAGTAAACTGATTTCATTTAAATCTTATTAACCTTCACTAAAATCTGTCATTTTGACACATGCATTTATTTTTCATTATGTAATCTAAAATTACGTCAAATTGATTTGATTACGTGTCAACTTAAATTTTGCAAGTAACTAGATTTAGTTAGTCCAGTGTTGTCACATATGTGACAGATATTTTTTTTTTATTTGACATTTCTTATTACTGACTAATGCATTTCGTATGTAAATCTGTTGTTCGCAATTGAAGACGAGCCTTTAAGGAAACGAATTTGAATCGAATTAGGAGATTGCGAATGGGTCTGTTGTGAATTGATGATTGTCACATCCCACGCGACGAATTGCCAATAACTCCAAACTAGGCAGATTGTATGCATGCGTCCTTCCATCCATTATTCAGCAGACGATGATGCAGCTGTTTCATGCGATGCAATTTAAATTTACATGTGCACTTTTTTACCATTAAAATAGCTAAATCAGACGTTGTACAACAAAGAAATCAATTAATTATAAATTATAATCAATTATTAGTAATTTTTTCAATGTAATTTTTTAATTGTTAATCACTCTCAGTAACAATGTAATAATTGATTGAAATTCTGTCTATTTAGATTGATTTTCTAAATAACGTAGTTAGAGTAATTCGTGTTTAAAAGACTTTCTGTTAAGTGCTATAGAGTAATGATGAAGTAATTAATTGAAATTACATCCTTTATTAGATAAAAATGACTTTGTAATAAGCGGTTTCCGATGATGAAGGATAATTGGGTGAAACTGGATTTCGAGTGATTTTGGGTAAAATTGGGTAAAAATCAATTTCCTGATAAACTTCGGATTCTTGAAGATATTTGTATAATTAATTTCTGTTAATGAATATACAATTAAAAAAAAAAACAAACATTTAATTAAAGTAAAACTATTTTTTGTTGTAAAGATAATTGATTATGTTTTAGTTAATTAAATGCGTGCGAGTGAAACTGAAAGAAAAAAAGACGCAATAGTTAATTAAAGCTGAAATTCAAGTAAAATTATATTGAATAAACTAGTAATAGATTGTGTATTTTTTTAAGTAAATGAGTGCGACCTATCTTTTAGATTCTTAACTGAAATCGCTGAAGGAAAACTAATTAAAACGTGTATTCAAATGTGCAAGTAGTCGCGGATCGCTAATAAAGATATTTTGTTAATCACATTACAGTAACAATATAATAATTGATAGAAATTCTGTGTATTTAGATTGATTTTCTAAATAATGTAGTTAGAGTAATTCGTGTTAAAAGACTTTCTGTTAAGTGTAATGATGAAGTAAGTAATTAAAATTAGATCATTTATTAGATAAAAACGACTTTGTAATAAGTGGTTTCCGATGATGAAGGATAATTGGGTGTAACGGATTTCCTGATAAGTGGATTTCGAGTAATTTTGGGGAAAATTGGGTAAAAATCAATTTCCTGATAAACTTCGGATTCTTGAAGATATTTGTATAATTACTTTCTGTTAATTTAAAATACAATTAAAAAAAAAGAAACATTTAATTAAAGTAAAACTATTTTTTTGTAAAAATAATTGATTATGTTTTAGTTAATTAAATGCGTGCGAGTGAAACTGAAAGAAAAAAAGACGCAACAGTTAATTAAAACTGAAATTTAAGTAAAATTATATTGATTAAACTAGTAATAGATTATGTTTTTTTTTAATGAAATGAGTGCGACCTATCTTTTAGATTATCAACTGTAACTGCTGAAGGAAAACTAATTAAAACGTGTATTCAAATGTACTAATAAAGTTTTATTATGTTACATTCTCCGTGTCTAATGGTTATAATTGCATTTGCCGATTCGGCCTCGGCAGACAAGAAAAAAAAAGGAATGCATTTCCAATACAAAACATTTTAATATAACATTGATTGTGCTTTAATGTGTCATTAATTTGCTCAAGAAAGGAAAGGAAAAAAAACATGTAGGTTTATTTATATGTTATTTTCCTTTCATTAAACTATTATTGTTCTACGATTAATTAAAAAAAAATAGTTGTTAAGTTCTCATTTTATATGCCCACTAATTAAAAATCGTGGCACATTAACGCTCGGAAATGATTCCATTGTCTGTGACATAACGTGCGCGAATTTATGTATGTTTTTTTTGCATGCCGCATGGCGATGATTCCACCGAAATAAAAAAAGACTTTTCTCTAGTTGCGTAACGATGGGAAAGGCAAAAGTCGCACGATTAGCGTCAACGCAAAATGCATCTGGGATAGTAAGCAAATGGGAAAGTAACGCGCGCCGCGTTTCCTGATTTATTAGCAAAGAAAGCGAAAGCGCGACTGGAAAATTCACCGAGTTGTGACAAAACTTCTTAACTCTTACGCAACGTGCTCTCGTTCATTTGTAGTTTCATCGAAATTCGTCACATTGTAAGAGTTGAAAATCACATTTTAACTTGTTTCTAATTGAAGTTGTAAACGTTTCTACTTAAAATGATTAGTTTTTAAGTAAAAGTAAATATCTACAGTTGGTAGGTGTGGTATGTAATGCATTTTTAATCGATGAAACGACGTTACTAATTCACGTGGTAAAAAGCAATATTGATTCAGCAGATGAAAACAAAATCTACATTATGAATAGTTGATGATGGAAGCGAAGCATGTGAATTGGTCGTGTTTGCAATATAAGATTTATTTATTTATAAATAGTATTAAAAAAAAAACAAACATAGAACTAACATGAGTAATAGTGGTTAATGCGTTCATCTAATCACAATTGCGAGTCTCACTAATTGTATAACAATCGAATATATAATAACAAGTGCTTTGCATTTTCTTTTCGTTTCGTTTAAAAAGAAAATGTAAAGTTAAGATCTAAAAAATAAGAGTTTTAGTAGTATTAGTTTTATTTGATGGTGCTGATTATGTATTGGATCAAAAGGGCAATGCCGGCACCCGCCAAAAACACCAAAAGGTAACAGAAGAAAGTCGTCGGGAATGACGCCCTCTTCTTCATGGCCAGCGTGAGAATCTTCCTGTTGGTTTCGGTGTACGGGGGATACCGGAAAGATTGCAGTTTTTCGGGCAGAATGGCTAAGCTCTTTTTGAGGACGCTCTTGTGGTGCACGAAGATGTCGAAGGTCTTCTTTCCATGGTAGCTGCCCATTCCAGAGTTGCCGACGCCGCCGAAAGGTAAACTCTCCACGGTGATCTGCATGAGGGTGTCGTTGATGCAGACGCCTCCTGAGGTCGTCTTCGATAGGAGCATATCGATGTCCTTCTTTCGGTTCGAGAATATGTACAGAGCCAACGGTTTGTCCCTTGCGTTTATGAAGTTGACGGCTTCGAAGACTGTATCGACGTTGACGATGGGGAGGATCGGTCCGAAGATCTCCTCGGTCATGACGGGATCGTCGACGTTCACGTCCACCAGGATCGTCGGCTCTATGTAACGTTCTTTCGCGTCGAAGGATCCACCGAGAGCGACGGTTCCGTACTTGAGCATGTTGACTAAACGATTGAAGTGTCGATCCGTGATGATCCTGCACAAATCCGGCGACTGTATGGATTTAGGCTCGAACCACTCGAGCAGCACCTTTCTGCTGGCTTCAATGAACTTCTTCTCGACATCCTTGCTGCAGAGCACGTAGTCTGGAGCGATGCACGTCTGCCCCAAGTTGGTTATCTTGCCCCACATCACTCGGGCCGCAGTGATCTCTATATCCGCCGAATCGTCGATGTACGTAGGACTCTTTCCGCCCAACTCCAAAGTGGTTGGGGTCAAGTATTTGGACGCGGCTTGATGCACGATTCTTCCGACGCTCGACGATCCTGTGAAGAAGATGTAATCGAATCTCTGCTTCAACAAATCCGTCGTCTCGCTTATTCCACCTTCGTACACTTGATAGCATTCCGGGTCGAGATACCTCGGCAAGAAATCCGATATGTATTTCGCTGAAGCCGGAGCCATCTCCGAGGGTTTCAGTATAACGCAGTTTCCACCTGCTATAGCTCCAGCTAACGGTAGAAGCGTCAACTGAAGAGGATAATTCCAAGCTCCTATGATCAAAATAACGCCGAACGGATCTTTGTGCACCTTCAGATCGTTCAGCAGATTCGCCAAATCCTTTTCAGTGCTCTTCGGGTTCACCCACTCTTTGAAATGCATCAGAATATTCGTGATGTCGTTGTTCAGGAACTCCACCTCGCATATCGACGATTCCTGCTTGTGCTTTCGCAGATCCATCTCCAGAGCTTCGAACATGATGTTCTCCGTCTCCTTGTACATCTTCTGCAAATTCCGAAGCTGCTGCTCCCTGAACTTCAGCGAACGCGTCTTGTCCGTCCTGAAGGCTTGACGCGCCACGCGCACGCATTCTTCCGCTGTGCGTGTCATTGGGGTTCTGCTGCTTGCGCTGTCCCTCGGCTGATCCACATCGATCACGGCTATATCGCCGTTCACGACCTTGCCGTTTGCTGGATAGATCAAGATGTTCTCCATGGCTTCAACACTTCTTCACTCTATACCTTCTATTGCATCTCACCACTGCTCTTCGTTTCTGTTTCGTTCTGGAGAGCTGTTACAGCGGTACTGAAAACCGGAGCTTCGAACGTCGAGCTCATATCCTGATAACAGGTTGCGCTCAGCAATCGCGCACCATCACACTCCCGCGACTCACTTGCCTAGATAGTAACCTTGCTGGAGTGGGTTTTAATACATTGACCGCATGTCGACTCGTTCCACAATATTTATAATATTTTCGAGTGCAGATAGCATCCATATCTTTCTGCAGCCCGAAAATCATCAACAGAACATCACATCACAACACAAAGTGACGTTCGTTCAATTTTTGTTTGATGCAACTTGATCGATTGAGAAAACAAAAACTGTCTATCCTCAATCAAGGACGTTCATATAAACTATTATGAAATTACCAAATTGATTCTTTTGTTTTTTTAAGCATCTCAATCTTTCTTATTCACAATTCAAAGCAAATTAATCCTATTCAATGTTTTAGCTATATTTATTAACAAACAATTAATCAAAAATTTTAAAATTCTAGTTAATTA